TATATTATAATAAGGAAATTGTGATTAATATATCTATAATAAACATTAAGAAATGCAAAAAAAGTCAAAATCTCATGCAATTTGTTCAATATTCTAAGAATGAAGTGCAATAAACGTTACATAGCGGTGGGAACATGTCAAGATTAAAAACATGTTTCAGTTTGTTTTTATTTGGGTTCAATGTCTGTGACCACAATGCTAACTTTTTCCCCATCTCTTTCGGCAGAAGCGAATATATCCCGTGCGTCTTTGTCGGACGTTATTCCAACGTTTACGTTCCTGTTACGATTGGTGGTCTCGTGTTCGAGTGTCTGAGCGTCAGCCTGAATGGCAATATGGCTGTGTTCTTGTATTGCAGTTTTCAAACTTTCCAGGCTAGCATCGGGTGTTGTGCATCGGTAGTATGTTTCATGGCCTTTTTTTCTTACTAAAAACTCCTTCTCGGTAAGGTTCTTGCTCTCGCCTTGAATGTACTTCAAAGCCATATCTGCAGTTGGTCGTTTGTCAGGTTTTTTCTTCATTAAGCTGTCGATCAAGTTAAATAATTTGTCGTCTTGATGCGATAAGTTTTCTCGACCACGATTCCCATTTCTAAGTTCCTTGATCTCATCTGGCCATTGACTTCTCGTTGGAAGATAGCAGCTGAGAAAATACAGAACGATTCCTGCGCTGTAGAGATCAACTTTAATATTAAGTTAGTTGCGAGTTCAGGGGCCCTGGACAGTTTATTTCCAACCTTAGGCGTAAGCTCTGGCATTTCTGGATCAACAGTGAGTACGAGAGATGCTTTGATTATAGACCCAATTTCTCTGGAAAGACCAAAATCAGCGATCTTGACGACAATTTCGGTGATTTGTTGTGGCTGTGGATTTGCTACAAGAATATTACCGGGGTGAATATCGCGATGAACCCAGCCGATTTGGTGTATAGCATTTAAACCATTCAAAATTTGAGGGAAAACGTGCGCCCAAAGTGGTTTCGGAGTTGAGACTTTAATAACATCAGAACCAACTATATCGTAGATATAATCATCTAAGTTTGCCAGACAGAGTTCCATTTGAATAAACAGAAATGGTGTGTTTTCGATATTCTTTTGCCAAGAACCGTAATATCTGACAATATTTTCAGTCCAAAGTTCGTTTTTCGGTCTTTTCAGTATCTCCAATTCTCGTCTCGGGTATATTGCATTTTGATCATTTTCGTCATTTGGAAAGGGAAGAATCTTTATGGCGCATTCCTGTCCGTTAGCGTTGTTCTCAGCCTTAAATACAAAACCATAGCCGCCTTCACCAATTTGTTCTCTTAAACTAAAACCATGCATTTTGAAAATGCTAGAAATTTGCTGTTTTTGTTCATCGGCCATTTCGCTAAGAACTTGTAGCCAAGAAGAATTTATTGCTAATAATAAATATGAAGAATGTAAAAGGTTTTTCCAAAAAAATTATAAATTTAAATTACTCATCACAATGTTATCGTTAATAACAAAATCAGCATGAAAAAACTTTGCATATAAGCTAAGCCAATTGTGAATTTTTGTCGGTAAACTAACGACGATAAAAGATATTTCTTTCTGTGTATGGGCTTGCCAATGTATAAACTCCTGTTTTTTGTCGCTTTTGCCTTTTTCGTAGGCTGTTGGTAAGCTACCTAGGATCGAGATTATCTATTGCTGTCTTCAAAACCACTCATCCATTTTACTGTAGGCGGATCTAGGAATTTGAAACGTTGTCAATTATTTTTCTCTTTCGGTTTCGCTTTAATGCAAGGTAATCATTTATTTTACCGTCAGCGACCCCATACCATCTATTATACCAAACGCTGTCGAGTAAGGGGCAAAAGTTTGAGTCCAGTCGTTGTAGAATTCCAGTATTAAATCCTGGCAGCGTATTCGAGTTAAGACATGCGTACTAGTGTTTCAGTACTGCAAACCATATTAATTGCACACTGTTTTGGTCCTAATGATCTAAATTACAACAAAATAAAGTTCTTATTCCTTTATACTGCTCAAGATGGGTGGGAAAAGAGCAAAGTGATGGTGCACAAGGACAAATAGTTGCATTAAGTATTGAAAGATTCTTTTCTCATAAGATCGCAGAAAAAGTGAGAATTTCTAAAGGTGGTATGCAACTAAACTTGGAGAGGTTCGAAGAAACTAAATCCCACTCAAGCAAACTTTTAGCTGCTTCGGTCATGCTGGCTTTGGCAATTTTGAAAGATATAATAGTATCCTAATTAAAGAAAATCATCCAATTCTTCAAGGACATGGAATTTCATCTGGTACAAAGATGATCGCATGTCTAACTACATGATAATCACCCTAAGCACATGCACATTTTCTTCTATGTGCTAGAAATCTTTTAGAAGCAAACTCGTTCTGGTGATCTCGTTCTCATAGCTTTCCTCCTCAAATTCCAGATCTAAAACTTATGGAACACTTGCAGGACCGTTTTATTGACATGCATTGACATGTAATGCATGTTTGCACATTGACATACGTTAAATGAGTATCATAACATCTCGTAGTTGTTGTGCAGCATGTATTTTTCAGTTTACTTATTTACTTTTTTCTAGTTCACTTATCTGTAAGGTTTTCTGTAGAAAATTAATATCTGCAGCTAAAACAATGAAATACAGTCACTGGACTCCTGGCCTCCTACTGTATATATATTGATATATATGATATACTTCCTTTTTTGTATATTTGTATCAATCCCAATATATATTGCTGAGTTCTTTAATTGCAACTTGCAAACTTTTCAAGTTATCATCAGGTTTGATGCATCGGTAATAAATTTCATCAGCGTGTATCTTTACAAAAAAATTCCTTGGCCTTTGGGTTGTGCATGCTTTATTTATTTAAGGCAGTGAGTAAATGAAATAACTTATTTTCTTGATGGGACAAATCTTCAAGATCACGATTTCCCTAATTGTCGTAAATGAAATCCAACAAGTTTTTGAGACAGAGTTCTGTTTGATGAAACGGAAATAGTTCGTTATAATATCTGATAATATTTTGCTCCCAAAGGTCTTCCTTACACTTTTCTATTTCTCGATCGTCTCTGGTATTTTGCGTTTCTATCGCTGCCGTCGTTCGCACTGCGAAGAATCTTTATGGCGTATTTCTGTTTGTCAACAATGTTCTTGACTTGCAAAACTAGCAAAGCAGAACTGCCAGACACCTATATTTTTATGTTGGTAGCCATTACGCATTTGTTAACCTATATTACATGACTCAATCATGCACTAAAAAGTAAAATTGATCCTGCCATTGGAGGGAGGAATATAATATATTAAGTAAATTGCCTCTCTTCTCATTTTAAACTATAATAGAAGTAATACATCAGCTTTATTTTGTTTTTTTCTCAACAGAAAGCATCAGCGAAGTTTGACAAAGACGTCACGGAGCAAAGCGATGTTCTGGTGTCTGGCAAATGGCGGGAAAACGACAGTCAGATGAGATCCTTCAGAACTTTCATGTTAATACCTTGGAAAGAAATGGAAAAAATAGCGACAGAAATGGAACAATTTGCAGCGTGAGAGACTGACTTGGGTAACTATTAGCGTGTTTTCATTCTATAATTTAGTACCAAAATTTGTGAGCTGGCGCGAAATATCTTGTGACGGAAATATGCGATTTTGTTACAAAAGGTACCGTCGAACTTGTGACGCCTAGCAACGATACCCGGTCAACTTCGTTCAATTTGCAAGGGTTAATCTTCGATATGAGAAGAGTACAGTCCAAAAAACAACGTCTGTAAACTAAAAATATAAACTTTCGTCGATAGAGCTAGAAAACAATTTTGTTGTTTGAAAAATCGTTGTCTTGTTTTTTATGAAAGCTCGATTTACGAGTTTTTATAATGTTTTTAGGAATGTTTATTCCTATATTTTATTTCATTATGATGTATCCTGGTAGAGCATTTTTCAACCTTTAAAATCAAGTCAAAATTAAAATTCCAAAGCTTTTTTATTTCCATAATGTTATAATACCACACAATTAAAGTACAAACGCAGTATGATATTACAAGATAAATATCTATATGCATATATATTAAAATATAACGTTATTTAAAAAACTCTATCTCTGTATTTTAAAATCATAAATAGCTTATTTCTGGCACCGCGTAAGGCTGCTTCTCTTGCTGAGGTGGCTGAATGGACAATAAATAAGAAATAACCTCCTGAAAATATCGAGAAAGTATATTTAATGTTAATTTTAAACCAAATTGGCACCGCAGATTTTGTGCAGCACATCAAAAGATGGCTCAGAGGGGGAGGGGAGGGGGTTATTTATCGCAGAAGCCAAAAATAAGGTTTTGATGTTTGAATTCTTGACTGCAAACAAACTTACGTGTCGGCCAAAAGACTGGGCAAAATCCAAAGCTGTGTTTCCATGCTAGAGAGAGGAAAAATATCAGCAAGTATGTTCTTTGAAACCTTCTCGTTTTCAAACTTGGCAGAATGAACACCGACCACAACCAGCCCGTCTTTCACGCTGTGTTTCGCTTCAAGAGCGTGTAGATCTGGCAGGATATGCATACAGTTTATACAACAATACGTGAAGAAGTCTAAAACACAAATCTTTCCGCGTAGATTTCCATTTATAGACAACGAACTGTCATCTTTCAAATTCATCCACTCACATCCTTCAGGAAAGTCGGGCACTTTTTTTATTTTCCCGCCTGATTCCTCACCAAATGTTTTGAGATATTGTTGAATTAAAGCATCCCTTTCTTTTTTATCCACAGAGCTTTCTAGTTTTAACGAAAACAGTTGATCTTTGCTGCTCATTTTGATAAATTTTTCATGTCCGATCTTTGCCACTCATCTGTCCATTCACGCGTAAATATTGAAAACACGCGAGATATTTAAATCCCTTGTCGCTGAGGTTGTTTCCCCCCGGGAATTTCTTCCCCTTTAACATATTTTCTTAGTGAACCTTGTGAGCGACAGGGGGAATAACGCCACGAATGTGCGGTGAAATAAATTAGATATTGAATATGGCTTCTCTTTCGTCGAGAAAGAAGAAAAAAGACGAAGTTATTCAAGAAGATAGCGACGAAGATTCTTCAAGCGAGGCCGAAAGCGAGAATTCTGAGTCAGATCTCCACCCAGATCTGGTAAGAAACGCAATAAAACATGCACAAACTGTACTAATAAAGGAGATATTTTTAGTTTATTTTGTGCATGTTTTGCACGTTGTCGTTCACTAGTACTGTACGCACACTTGTTACTGTAAACTACAACTTTTAGGAAATTCAAGTTGAATTTGAAGCAAGAACTCCAGAAGCCTCAGATTTTGCAGGAATAAAAAGATTATTGCAGCAGGTAGGTTATCAGAACTGCAAAATGACTGGAAGCATCTAATAGACAAGATTGTATAGAATATTAGGAATAAAAATGACCAGCAAATACTTTTAAGGAAACAGGAGCTGATCTTGACCAATTTACTGCTGTAATATATTTTTAGCTTCTGCCAAAAACCAGCATAAATCTCTCTGAAATTACAGATCTTATTTTGAATCAGTCGAAAGTTGGCAGTGTTTTGAAGGTATGGTATTAGATTCATCCAGGAATCCTGCAAACGAAATAGTAATTATTGCATCGGTCATTGTCATGTTACAATCTGAAAAATTTCTGAACCTTTTAGTGTATCGCAGACAACAATGACAATGATGACAACAACGAGGAGGATACTTACGGAATTACTACAGTCTTGAACATTAACCATCATAAGGTAACTTTACCAATTGAAATGATGCAACAGATTATATCTACATGTTCAACTGCAAATTATCAAACCACTGATGTTTTCAAAAGCAAGGCTAGGGTAGCTTTTTAATGAAGTTTGAATCTATTTCTCTTGTTCAGGAGGTAGCTGCAGTCAGAGACTTCCTTAATCTTGTTACAACAAGTTCTCAAGATGAACAATTTTTAAAAATCCTTCAAGATCCACAGCCCACTATGGGTTGGTTAATAAGCGAGCGATTTATCAATATTCCAGCTCATATTGCTCCACCACTCTATGCAAGCCTTTGGTAAGTACAAACTGACATTGTGATCATGCAATTATATGCTACAAACAGTAAACATGCATAGATCTATTAGAATTTGTAATGATAAATTAGTTCAAGCAAGTTTCAACTGCATTTCAGGTCAGAGATTGAGAAGGCAAGAAAAAAGGTATTAACCAACTTTTTCTTGGTGGGAAGGCTTATTAGTCCTAATTTTGGAGAGGGGCTCAAAATTAAGTGACGTGCTTTGAAACATGAGGCTTTTTGCCTGGGAGAGGCAACTAAATTAGGAAAAATCTTCATATTTGGTTGATGGATGGTTTGAAGCCTCTTATTTGTGGGAGATTAGTATTTAAGAAAGGCTTTTTAAGGGGCTTCGGTATAACAACTGCTGCATGAAAATAGACAAGACCCAAGGGCCCACACCAGGTAGTATGATATGAAAGTTATGTGTCATCATACTAAATTCTATGACAGTTAAAAGGACAAGAAGTGTTTTTATTTATCTTAGGCTGTTGTTATACAACATTTGATGCAATGTTTCTGGAATACTACCCCTTGTGAGGGGCTGTTGTCTTAATGAGAGGTTCTTATTTCAGTGAGACTTATTTGAAGAATGTCCATACTTGAGGGTAGCTCTTTTTTCAGAAAGCTGCGCAACAAAGAGACCCTCTTTTTTTAGGAAGGCAACTATTTTAGAAAGGTTGCATGCCATTCATAGGGGGCTGATATATATTGCAAACCTCATTCATATGCTTTACTATGTTTTCTTACATTTCAGGGGAAGCCTTTTAAATTTGACTATCTTCTCTACATATGTAAATCCTACAAATTTGATGTATCAAGCAACAAGAAAAAAAAGAAAAATCAAGTGAAGGAAGGGCAAGACCTGATGTTTATAAATGCTGAGGATGAACTACTATGTCAGGTTAGTGGAAGTCCAGTTGTAGTTTGAAGTAACAATATTTATTCTGAAATTTACAAAAAAACACAAACAGTATACAAGTATACAATAAGTATTCAATACACATTATGTATTGCATACTACAGGGTGTCTTGAAGAAATGCAATCGATATTAACAGACCTTTACGAAGGTTATGTTAAATTTAATGATTCAACCCAATATATTTATCTATATACATGCTGTATGTTAGATTATTTCTTGCCATTATGCAAGAAATATATATATATATTATATATTATATTATATATATATATATATAATATATTATATATATATATATATATTATATATATTATATATATTTAATATATATATATATATATATTTGACAAAAATTTTAGAATGATAATTAGTGATTGAAATAACTTGCCAGATTGAAGACAAAACGAAGCACCTTTGAAATTTTTGCTAAATAGTACTACAGGTATAAAATACCTGTAAGCCATGTATGCGCAAATAGTACTATAATCGTTATTGACAGTGCGGATAAGTCTACCTCAAATTACTCGCAAAATTGTTGTTTATGGTGAATCACAAGAATGTGATGTGTATATTCATATGCAAATTTGTAACGAACTTTAACCTCCTGTAACGCATGAGTGGACTTGGACTTTCGTAGGTTCGTTTACAGTGTGATTTTATGTGCGATTTTCTTATTTTGATGACGGATGTGAACGAGCTTTTGTAGTTACATCAGCATTCGTAATGAGGGGACTCGTTCACATCTATACCAAAAAAAGGAAATTGCACTAAAGTAAAAAGCGAACAAATAAATTTAATGTAAAATTTTGTATTCGTATAACCTTTTTTAAATTAGAAAATATCGCATTAAGGTAGCTAGTTCATTCAGGAAGAGTAAATATAATCCAAAGGTTTAATATAAAATGATTCCACAGCCGCTTTTTCGGCTAAAACGACGAATAGTATAAATTATCAATTTATACTAAACCGAGTTTGTTTTCGCAACGGCCTTGAGCTATCCTCCTATAGGGGTCGAGAACTATATCGTCTTGGTGCATATCCGTAATTATACACTCGCAATATTATTACATTACAGTTTCAAGTTTAAAAATTAATCTTCAAATGACGCCAAATGGAAAACTCCTTTTAAAGGTGATAAACTGCTTCCTCTATGTCACACTCACCGCTGCGAGTGACAACTATACTTACTTTTTCGGCTTCTTCCCTAGCATTAAGAAACATTTGTCGCACATCTTGGTCGGACTTTAAATCGACCAGTGTGCATGTAGCATCGTTACCAATAATTTCACGTTGCAGTTTCTGAAAATCAGCTTTAATCCCGATATGGCTATGTTCTTCTATTGCAGTTTTTAAGCTTTTCAAAGTATTCTCAGTCATAGTACAACGGTAGTAAGTTTCATCACCCTGTTTTTTGACCAAAAATTTCTTTTCGGTAAGGTTTCCGACTGCAATGAATTTCAAAGCCATATCTGCAGTTGGTCGTTCGTTTGGGTTTGGCTTCATTAAGCTATCGATCAAGTTAAATAATATGTCGTTTTGATGCGACAAATGTTGAGGACCACGATTCCCGTTTATAAGTTCCTTGATCTCATCTGGCCATTGGCTTTTCGTTGGAAGATAGCGGCTGAGAAAATACAGAACGATTCCTGCGCTGTAGAGATCCACTTTGTAATCGTAAGATCCAGTATCAAGTTCAGGCGCGCTGAAGAATGTATTTCCAACTTGGGGGGATAGCGGTGCCAGTAATGGAGCAACAGTGAGCGGAAGAGAGCCTTCGATTATAGACCCAATTTCTCTGGAAAGACCAAAATCAGCGATCTTAACGACAATTTCGGTGATTTGTTGTGGCTGTGGATTTGCTACGAGAATATTACGGGGGTGAATATCGCGATGAACCCAGCCGATTTGGTGTATAGCATTTAAACCATTCAAAATTTGAGGGAAAACGTGCGCCCAAAGTGGTTTCGGAGTTGAGACTTTAATAACTTGAGAACCGACTATATCGTAGATAAAATTTTCTAAGTTTGCCAGACAGAGTTCCATTTGAATAAACAGAAATGGCGTGTTTTCGATATGGTTTTGCCAAGAACCGTAATATCTGACAATATTCTTCCTCCATAGTTCTTCTTTGTATTGTGTCAGTATCTCCAATTCTCGTTTCTGGTATTTTGTGTTTCTCCTGTTGCAATCTGTCGTCTGAACAACCTTTATCGCATATCGACGATCGTCATGGATGTCCCTAACTTTAAATATAACACCGCAACCACCTCTTCCAAGTAGCGCTTCTGTATAATAATCCCGCCTATGTAAGCTAGGTTTTACTTTTTCTAAAAGGCTGTCCTGTTCTTTGTTCATGCTACGATTCTTGTCACAAATTACTCCATATAAATTCCCCCCATATTTTTTGTGTTTCAATACCGAACTTTAATCACAATATTATGGTGTTATGGAAGTCAGGAGTTTGTATATACTTTCGAATCGAGCCAATCAGTGATGTACGATGTGATCATGTAGATCGCTGATTGGCTCAAAAATATATATTGTTGCAGCAGGTGGCGTAGCCAGCCTGACGATTTAGTCATACTATGCAAATTTTATGTTACTACCGTTTGCAAGCTACCGTGAACCGTGTCCAATCAAACGTTTTGTTTTACGTTTATTTCCGGTGACGTTTGCGCGCGTAAACGTCATGTTCTCTAAGTACAATTGTTTACTTTTGCTCGCCGAAAAGTTAACCTTTGACATAGTAACTGTGCACCCAAAAGAAAAATACGGCATTTTAAAATCACGAAAACCAGGCGATGGCAGCTCCCAGAATCAACAAATATGGAAGAACGTATGGCCCAGGAAAGGCTTTGTCTGAAGATATTCGAACGTGTGTCATTGCTGAGCTCTTGCAAGCCGAAGGGGATAGATGTACAGGTTTTACTAACGCCTCGTTTAAAGATGTCGCAAAGAGATTTAAAATATCCCACAGCTCCGTGTCAAACATATGGAGAACATACTGCGAAAGATATACTGTACAGGAGTCAAAACGTGGTGGAAATTTCAGTCAGAAGTTAAATGCTGATGACCTTGAACTAATAGAAATATTGAAAACAGAGAACGGCTCAATTTCACTAAATGAAATTTATGAAATTTTGAGTGAAGTTAATGACGATAATACACACATTTCCTTATCCACAATATCTCGAGCTGTGAGAAAACATATGCTTTCTGGAAAAAGATATTCCAGGAAAAAATATCACATGTTGCCACTCAACGTTTCACCCAGTCGAACTTGCTTTATACGCAGATATTTATTGACTACGTATGCTCTAAAGACCCTTGGCGTTTAAAATTTTTTGACGAAGCAGGCCTGAAAATTCCCGACGTTGGTACAAGACGCTACGGCCATTCACCAGTCGGTGAAAGGTGTGTAAACGTCATTAGAAAATATGAATCCCCAAACAATACATTAAATTTGCTTTTTCTTTGAACGGAGCTGATTATTATAGCGTTATTCCGGGAGCAAGTAACACCATGGAATTCCTCAATTTTTTTGAAGAAGCTGCGGCAGCTATTAATTTGAACACTCATCGCCCAGTATTTGGTGTGGGTGATGTTGTTATAATGGATAATTTGGCGGTTCACCAATACGAGGGTGGGGAAGTTCTTGAAGAATTTTTGGGAGAGATGGGTATAGAGCTTCTGTATACCCCCGTTTATTCACCGGATTTAAATCCTATAGAGCTGTGCTTCAATAAAATAAAAACTATGCTTAATTATGAATTAAAATCTCGAGTTCATGACAATTTACCCTTGGCAGCCATGCTCGCTATTGAACAGATTTCCCAAGAGGATATGAAGGGTTTCTATAAATATACTTCATACTTATTTCCACATATGTAAATGTTACAGTAAGATAGAGATATTTCTACAAAGATAGTACGCGTGGTGTAAATAATACCAAAGTTACCACCATGGCGCAGTGTCATTGATTACACTATACTGACTTGTTTTCATTTTGATAACAGACAAACATTTTACGGACAATATCAAATTTTGGACAAGATAAAAAATAAAATTTGTATAAACAAAACGTAAACAATGTGATTAATGTTGAAAAAATGTACTTTTTTACAAATAAATTTTGTAAAAACGTCATTAGAACAAATAAATTTTGTTCATTGTAGATGATAATTTCCACAGTGGCACAAAAACGGAACGTATAACTTGAAAGTTTGTAATTAAAAGTTTTCTTAAACAAATATAAATTCACGTTCAAAGTAAGCCATTGTAACTTGAAGAAAATGTTGGAACTTACAATGTCAATGATCATTTGTTTGCATTCTTAAGGGATAGTAACAAACTCGCGGCATCTGCATCGTTAGAAGACATAGACATAGCAGGGCCAGGGGTGTCTGTGACACTTTCATATTGCTCAAATTCGTCACGAGTTTCGCTTCGTGGCTCAGTGTCGTAAGAACTAATCGATAAAGCCATGCGAAATTGCTCATCCTCCTCAACTTCATTTTGCGGCGCGTAGCGAAACATATCGCTTGTAGGCATCTTCGATATAGTTTCACTTGAACGAGGAAAAACAATTCCTTGTTTTTCGAGGTGATCTTTAAAAGGATTTTCCCGAACGCGACGAGACCTTACCTGCGACATGCCGACAGTCGCAGACGAAACACTTTCGTCTTCTTGAATTGCTCTACGTAAACACTCCATAACTTTATGTCTCGGAGGAATTTTTCCCCCATAATGACGTTTGCAATATGATTGCAAAATAAAAACATGTTTTCGGAGAAGACTCCAGTTTTTAAAACCGTTAAACGTGTAGGAAGCTTGGTCAACAGCTAAAATTTCTTCCTCCAGCCGATTAACAATGGATGAGCCAACTTTTTCAGCAGCATCTTTTTTTTTTGAAGCTCAGCTTCTAACTTACGTCCGATTGACTCCAGTCGCACTATAGCATTCTTTTTCTTTCTGGTATCTA